TGAAAAGATCCAGAACCAAATATTTCATTAAGGCCAGGTCTTAATGCAGCAACTGCAGACAAAACAGGTAAAAATAGGGCAGAGATTCTGAGTAAGAGACCAGCAAATGTGACACCTGTTTAAACCTCAGGCTCTCTGTTCATGGACTGATATCTTCGGTCAGCTTGGGGGATGCTGAGAATATCAAGGGAAGACAATTATGTCTCTTTATAGAAATATTTTAAAAATTAAAGGAGCTCCCCAGTTCTCCTTCTTGAGGTATTACAGAAATAACAGGCCGGGCACAGTGGCTCACACCTGTAATCCCAGCACTTTGGGAGGCCGAGGCGGGCTGATCACTTCAGGTCAGGAGTTTGAGACCCCGCTGGACAGTATGGTGAAACCCCATCTCTAGTATATATACAAAAATTAGTCAGGTGTGGTGGCACACACTTGTAGTCCCAGCTATTTGGGAGGCTGAGGCAGAAGAATCAGTTGAACCCAGGAGGTAGAGGTTGCAGTGAGCCGAGATCACTCCACTGCACTCCAGCCTAGGCAACAGAGTGAGAACCTGAAGAGAACAAAGAAAGAAAGAGAGAAAGTGAGAAAGAAAGAAAAGAAAAAGACAAGAAGAGAAAAGAAGAGAAGGAAGGAAGGAAGAAAGAAAGGAAGAAAGAAGGAAAGACAATTTCTGTAAAAAGTCCGGTCTACAGTCCTGAGAAGGGACTAAGATACCAATTATTAATATCAACCACCATTTTCTGAGTTTTTATGAGGATTGCAGTAGTATTTTTACATAAATTATGTCTTCTAATCCATACAGTAACAGTAACCCTCTGAAGTGAGAGAGGTTAAGCTACTGGACTGAGCTCTTATAACTACTGAATGGCAGAAAACATGGCAAAGGTGAGGTTCCAACCATGGCAGAGTAGTCCTAGAGTCCGTCCCACCAACCACCACCTCACACTGTTCCTTCTTTTTTTTTTTGAGATGGAATGTCTCTGTCTGTCACTCGGGCAGGAGTGCAGTGGTACGATCTTGGCTCACTGCAACCTCCAGCTCCCAGGTTCAAGCTATTCTCCTGCCTCAGCTCCTGAGTAGCTGGGATTACAGGCAGGTGCCCACCACCATGCCTGGCTAATGTTTGTATTTTTAGTAGAGATGGGATTTCACCATGTTGGCCAGGCTGGTCTTGAACTCCTGATCTCAAGTGATCCACCCGCCTCGGCCTCCCAAAGTGCTGGGATTATAGGCTTGAGCCACCACGCCTGGCTACCCTGTTGCTTCTTAGGGTATCTCAAAATGTTCTTGTCTTTCTTAACATGGAGAAAACACACTAGCCAATAACTGCTGCATTTGGTAGTGCTGCTCTGTGTGAGATGCCAGTGAGGTAAGGACTTGATGTTAACTAAATCTCGTAAATATACGTAATTCATTTATTTGAGGAGCAAAAGAGTAGAGGCTTCACACAAACTATTGGTGCTATGAGAAACCAAGGATGTCTGTGCCTGTTACGTGCCTATATGGTATGTCAAGGTTCTTAAGATCCAATGGGATTGTTTGTAAAGTTTTACAAAGCTGGAGCTGGAGGAGTGAGAAAGGCTGAAAACATAGGACATCTCAGGCTTCTCTAACCTTCAATTCTAACACACTTATCTTTGTTTTAGGGGAAATTTTAATTCTAGTAAATGTACGTTACTCATTCCTACAGAATTCTTTTTAAAGGAAGAACTGGGGTCCAAAATATATCAGTAAGTCTAAATACATTAATGATCACAATAAATTTAAGTATCTTAAGTTTCTTTGTCAAAGTAACACAGATTTTCTGAATAGCCTCAACTATAGTGTAAAACTAGTATTTAAAAGACAGATTCTTAAACTGAAGTGGCACAAAAAGGCTGAAAAATAGGCACTAAAATATACTAGGTAAATAATAAAAGAAAGCACATGCTGTAATGCTAATATCTGACAAAAGAAAATGAGATGAGAAGCATTAACAATTAAGAGTGACAAAGATATTTTCTTTCAATTGTATTCAATTCACCAAAAAAATATAAGTTATGAATCTTAATGCATTGACAATGTGGCATTTTATTTATACGTATATAAATATAAGCATTAAATAAATGCTGATAGAAATAAAGAGAAATAATACAGAGCCATGGTCAAAGAACGTAATAATATATTCATTTCAGAAATAAGGATATCATATATAAAATTAATAAATATTATTTTTAAATTAATTTTGAAGATTTGAATTAATTATTTTGAAGATTTGAATACTGCTCAAGGAATATTTATTAAGGAAAAAATACATTCCCCTGCTCCCTACCACCCTGCCCAAAGCAGAAATAACATCAACATAGAAAGAATGGTAAAAGGAAACAAAACAATTTATTTGGAAATTAAGACATTCTTCTAGGTAACTTTTGTGTTAAAGAAAAAGTAAAAATAAAAATGGAAAAACTAATAAGAAGTGAATGGTAACGCCATATATCAGAGGCTCTAGATTACAGCCAGAGTAGAACCAGAAGAAAAAGAAAATCTCTTCCAAACCCTCCAGGGACTATGATTAAGGGGTGGCTGAGCTAGTTGCCCTTATAGGTTCCCCTAACATTGCCAATTCCCCTGAGCCTTCAGACTTTTTAAACTAGAGTGGCACTATCCAATACAGTAGCCACTAGCCCTATGTGCTAAATTTAAATTAATTAAAATAAAATAAAATTCAGTGTCTTAGTTGTTCTGGCCACATTTTAAGTACTCAGTAGCCACAGGTGGCTAGAAGTTATTGCATTGGACAGCACACACCATACAAATTCATCGTAGAAATCGAAAGTTCTGTTTGGCAGTGCTTCTCTAGTGTTTACCAGGAACTTCCAAAACGTCAATTCCACTGACTGCAGGCCACCGACGGGCCAACCTAGCAAACTATACATGCTACTTCTATTTGCTCAAGCCAACACATCAGATTCAGAATCTCAGGGAAGAAAACTCATATTGATAAATGTAGCTCAGTCAGATCTTCAGTTTTACTTTGCATGGTCAAACAGCTTTAGGGTTCATTCACATCCATCCTCCCCAAACTCTGGCCTAAACTGGTTGGTAACGTCTCATAATTATTTTAGTGTATCGGTTTCCTCTCCCACTTCAGACCAGGTCTTGTACATCCTTATTTGGGATCTACTCTTGTTGTGGTCCTGGAGGTAATTAGGGAAGTGGGAGTGGATCCTATAGAGATCAGCATCCCATGGGGCTGACATTCTCCCAGGCATAGTCATTGAAAGGTGTTTATACAGAGGAAGGTGTTCTTTATGGTGGGAAGGGGGGTTTCCTCAATTAAAAAAAGAGGTCATAGAGGATTAAGGAGTTCAAAGTTTTCAGCCTGTCCAGGCACGGTGGCTTACGCCTGTAATCCCAGAACTTTTGGGAGGCTGACTCAGGTGGATTACCTGAAGTCAGGAGTTCGAGACCAGACTGGCCAACATGGTGAAACCCCGTCTCTACTAAAAATACAAAAACTAGCTAAGCATGGTGGTGCGGGCCTGTAGTCTCAGCTACTCACGAGGCTGAGGTGGGAGGATCTCTTGAGCCTGGGAGGGAGAGGTTGCAGTGAACTGAGATTGTGTCACTGTACCCCAGCCTGGGTGTCAGAGTGAGACCTTGTCTCAAAAAAACATAAAACAAAGTTTTTAGCCTCACCTGTTTCTCCCTCTCATATCTCAGGATGTCATTCCTTCTCCCACTAGAGCACTTAATTTAGTCTTAGAGACTGGCATGGACAAGCATTTGATTGGCTCTGCCACTGTACAAGCCATATAATACAGCACTTGATGTAATCATTGCCATATCTGCCATGCAACCAGAAGAAATGAGGGATTCCTTCAAAGCTGGCATAAAAGTGTTTTCATTTTCCACCCATCTTCTGAATGGAGAATTTAAGGCCTTCAATTTTTCTTTTCACTCTGTATACTCCCTTGGACAGCACTGTCCAATACAACTTTCTGCAGTGATAAACGTGTTCTCTACCTGTGCTGGCCTAGAATATAGCAGTCACTAGCCACATGCGGTTTTTGAGTAATTGAAATGTGGCTCATGTGACAGAAGAACTGAATTTTAAATTTTATTTAGTTTCAATTAATCTTAATTTTAATGTAAATAGACACATGTAGTTAGTGGCTACCAGACACATATATCTAGGGCACCAAAAGGAGTTAGCTGACCCAAAATTTGTGTAATCATTATTGTCACCATCGTACCAATTTTTCAAAACCACTTCCTCTCCCAACCCCCTGCCCTCACTTGCACTTCCGTCCATGCAATGATGGTGTAATTGTGATGCCTCCATAACTTAGAGATGAAATGCTTCCTTTTCCCTGGCAAGGAGGGTTATCCATGTATTTTTCAAGTGTGAGAGCAACCTCGTCCCAGAATTCTCTCTTGAGGGCCACTCTTGAGGCCACCCTTGATGTCTGTTACTCTATCAATCATTGACCCAGAATTGCACACTCAAATGGGGTAAAACTCTTAAGTGTTAACTAAAGGAGCCATTTAAAACGATCTTGGCAGGGATGCTAACATACCCAATGGTTAGCAACAGTGAAGAGCCATTAACCACACCTACGCACAGGGAAGCTGCTGACCAGACCTGAGGGTTAGCTCTAGCTACAGGAGCTGGCCTCCTGCTGGAGCTGGGGCCCTCTGTAGGTGATGCAAACATTCTCTGTACTCAGCAGAGAGGCTACCTGGGAACGGCTACATCAGACCCACCCTCCTTTGGCTCACCACCCTCCTTCTTTCTTCCTGTGCCTTCCTTTAACAAACCCAAGCAGAAACCAGAGTGTGAAGAAGGTTGTCACTGCCATCCGTCAAGTGCAGCCTCCAGAGGCATAGAGGGTGGGTAAGGGTGGAGGGTGGTTCTAGAGTAGCAAACAAAACATTTCTCTGTTTATGCTATTAGAGTAGCCCACCCATGTTTGAACTATTAAGAAAAAAGTCTGGACAGATGAGGCCTGGACTCTGACCTTGTGTCGATTCCCCATAGAAATGCCACCCGTGAGTTTCTGATGAAGGCAGCTGGTTTTCCGTCGCCTGGAGCTGTTTCCTAATGAGACAAAATGAATTATAAACATTAATGATGACAAATACGGTGAGGAAAACTTAAGCAACCAAAGTGGGACAAATTAAAAAGGTGATTTTGAAAGAATCTTTAGTAAAGATTCTTATAGTAAAACATAGTAATGGGTAGTTTTCTTTTTTCTTATTATAGTTTAAGTTCTGGGGTACATGTGCAGTTCGTGCAGGATTGCTACATAGGTATTCACATGCCATGGTGGTCTGCTGCCTCCATCCCCAGTAATGGGAAGTTTTCTATGACATGTCCAGAGATGATTCCTTATACCTTCCCCACAAACAAATCTTCTTATTAAAATCCTCTAAAATGCATTCTACACATCACTCGGCATGACACTCTCTAATTCCAAATAATTCTTTCACATAGGCTTGTATATTTAGTGTGTATGTGTACTACACTTTTAGTGATACTGTCATCTCTGTGAGGACAAGATTATGTCATCACCGTTAGTAAATTCATCTTTACTGGATTCCTGAGGACCTTCTTGCTCACTGGAGCATTTCATGACGCTAGACACAGTGGTAAAGGCTGTGCTTGGGGCCCCATGGGGCCCCTTGGGACTACAGGATGGTGCTTTGGGGAGACAGGCGTGGGGGGAGTCTCACTATGGAGTAGAAGGGCCTCCTTGGCTCCTTTGGTCAGTCTGAGTTTCCCCAACAAAACAGCTTTCCTGGTACGCTGTGTTCAGGCTCTGGAGCTGCCTGGCAGTTCTGCTAATCATTCACCACCTTTGGCTTCTTTCTCAGCTACTGTGGGCAGTGTCTGGTTTGAGATGGGTGATTACTATCTTCAAAGTCCTGAGATTAGGATGTTCGTGGTTAAATGAACAACACGTAGCCTTGATGCCTGGCCAAGGAGGGAGACTGGACACCACAGATAGAAGTTTATTTGGGGCTATTTATTCTGCATCCATTTCATTTTAAGCCTCAAACATTTGGTGTTCTAGTGCACACTTCTGCCCTCCTCCTCCTCTGACTGTGGACACCCCTGTTCCAGTTGTCAGGGGTTAAATAGGGTATATTTTGAGTTCAAATGATTCTCCTGCCTCAGCCTCCCGAGTAGCTGGGATTACAGGCAGCTGCTACCATGCCCAGCTAGTTTTTGTGTTTTTAATAGAGATGGGGTTTCATCATGTTGGCTAGGCTGGTCTCGAAATCCTGACCTCAAGATCTGCCTGCCCTGGCCTCCCAAAGTGGTGGGATTATAGGCTTGAGCCACTGCGCCCGGCCAAGTAAGGAGTCTTAAAGGATGCATGAGGGTTTGTGAGTAACCTAGGCCTTCTCTGCATAATCTCCGTGCTCAGGCACCTCTCTCCTCCTATTCTGAGCATTGAACAGGGGCAGAAGGAAGCAAGTCATTAGAGAAAGGGACAAGTATGACCAGAAGGTCCTCAAGGACCCCAAAACAGAACTCCTGAGACCAGAAATTCCCACAGGTGCATCCTAAAAAATATTTATTTTTATACTTTGGCAGAACTCAATTAGTTCCCAGTGTACTAGAATGAAATGCAACAATGAGACCTACCTCACTAAAAACCTAGGCTCCTATCCAGAATTTTCCATTCTGTGGGAGCAGTGGGCAGAAGGAGATGATAAAAGTAGGTAGAACTTAGCTCTGTATATATAGCCCAAAACTCCAGGGGCCTGTGAGGGAGAGGAGGGCAGAGAGGTCCTGAGTATTGTTCACTCTTCAGTCAGACAGACCTCTATTCCATGGGGAAGTTCATTGGCCATTTTTACCCAGAGGTATTTCTTTTCACTTACGGACTATATCAGGCCACAGTGGTCTCCAAGGCCATGATACTCAAAGGCTGTCTCCTGTATCCTTTGTGCCCTCCCAGGAATAAGCAAAGATGTGCCAGGTGTGGAAAATAGCCTATGGAGGATTCCTGAAGATAATGACAGGCTCTCTCTTAACATTGTATGTGTCTAGACGGCGGGATGGTGCTGATGAGAAAGCAGATGCTATCAAAGTTCATGTACCCCAAAGAGTGGCAGCACCTCACCATGTTCATCCTCCTCACTCTCAATGGCTGCGTGGACTTCATGAGCAAGAACGTGCTGCCTCAGAGGCATGTGGGCCTAGAAAAAGGTACCCTGGTCCTGATCATCTATGAGCTCCTGCTGCTGATGGTGTCACATGTTAGAGACTCAGAAGGGCTGGGTGCGGGGCTCGTGCCTGTATTCCCAGCACTTTGGGAGCCTGAGGCGGGCAGATCATGAGGTCAGGGGATCGAGACCAGCCTGGCCAACATGGCGAAACTCCATCTCTACCAAAAATACAAACAAATTATCCCGGCATTGTGGCGCGGGACTACAATCTCAGCTACTCGGAAGGCTGACGCAGAACTGCTTGAATCTGGGAGGTGGAGGTTGCAGTGAGCTGAGATTGTGCCACTGCACTTTAGCCCAGATGACAGAGGGATACTCTGTCTGAGAAAAATAAAAATACTCAGAAGGGGTGGAGCTGCACGTGCACTCTCTGCTCATCCTGGTGGTGTTCCTGCTGTTGCTGGTGTTCACTGCAGAGCTGTGGGCTCCCAACATGTGTCATCTCCAGCTGATGGAGACCTTTCTGATCCTCATGATGGGCTCCTGGCTGATGCAGGCAGGCTTTATTCTATACAGACCTGTCTCTGGCTACCCATGGCAGGACGATGACATCAGTGACATCATGTTTGTCACCACCTTCTTCTGCTGGCATGTGATGATCGATGCCTTGTGCCTGTTGGGAATCTACAGCTTCTCTTCCTTTTGGCATCGTTGTTACACTCCCAGCTTGAAGCTGACGGGGCCCAAGGAAGCTCCGTATTACGCAAGCCCTCCAGGACCCCTCTACAAGTTGCTACAGGAAGTGGAGCAGTCAGAGAAAGAGGACCAGGTCCTCCTTTTTTCAAAGAGCTCCCCTGAGACAGAGTCTATAGTGGCTGGCACATCATCCACCTTGCCTTCCTCCTGTGGGCTTCTCAGCCATAAGCATGGCACCCTTTCTGGTCCCCAGTGAAAGGAATGGCCCTGAAGGACAGTAATTGGCCCCGACTGTTGTCCCTGTATCTGAGCATCAGACTGCTGAGGAGATAGGGAGAGAGAAACCTGAAGCGAGGGCACAGATGGGGTTATGTGGAAGTGGGAGAGGAGGAAGAGACCCAAAGGGGTAGGAAGGTGGTCAAGAAATATCCATAGCAGGAAGAGAACAATCAAAGGGAGGCCTCTGAAAAAAGAGAGTGGAGCCCAGCAGCGATGCCAGCACCAGCTGCCTATCCAGCTTTTACCTAAAGAATAAAGACTTCACAAATCAAGATTGCAATGATGGGTTCATTGTTGGCCAGCTAAGGTGAAATGGCGTAAACAGATGGAGTACCATTCACTTACCCTACCTGACTGAAATAAGAATCTCATATATATTTTTAACTTGGGTGGACTAGCATAGTTTCAGACTCTGCACATAAAGTGAGGATTAAAATTTACATCACAGTTTTTCAAGTCTCCATAATCCAAACTTTCACTAAATGCCACCACACCTCTTACTCCTGACCTCTAATCCAGCCAAAGCAAAGTGTTTTTCTACTTGTTTAACGACCACTAGCCCCAGCAGTAATTTACTAGATCCTGATTTACTGCATCGTACACTTGAGCCTTTCCAGATTACACGCTCTATAAAACCCGTCGGCAGTCACATTTTCACTACACGGTGTCATTTTACACTCAGAAATAAATTTCCTGTACCACTTCCACCAAAAAGTCCTCCTCCAGAAAATTTTCATAAACTCCTTGGGTCTGGAGCTCTTGAGCAACTCATGTATATCTGCATTGCCCATGCTGCTGATACACTCTCCTTCACTCTGTATCTCATATTGCTCCTCTCCAGGAGGTTTTGCCCCACCGACTACAAGGAAGGCTCCTGAACAGCAGGGAATTTACCATATCCTAGTTACCCATTTCCTCTGCATGTTCCAGAATATAATGTTGTCCTCCGCACAGTTCATGCCTAATAAAGTCTCATTTTCTTCCAGCGCCTCCCTTGACAGTCTCTCCTAAATGTAATGTCTCCTTTGTGAACTCTCGGGAGAGGAAGCCAAGGGCTAAGACTGCATCACATAGCAGTGGGTCTGTGTGTAAAATAAGCTCCACTGACCTGTTCAGGGGATTAGTTTACTCTGTGTATCATCCTTCACTGGACCTCTACGAGGTACGCCCTGTTGGCTTTCCAGATGTCTCCGTTTTACATATTAAAAAACTGAAGGCTTCCACAGGTGCCTGTGCCCAAAGACTTGTGGCTGGTCAGAGACAGAACAGGAACATACGCTCTGAAAGTCAAGCCCCTGCTTCTGCTGTCTGGGCTCTCATGACTTCTCTGCAGAGAAAGGTGGAGAAGCGTGACTGATCTGGAAAACAAGATGGGCAGAACGCAGGCGGCAAGAAGCCCCTGTGTGCATGAGTGGAACACTGCAACAATCCCCAGACCTCTTAAAGAGCATGTGCACGTCACACTTTCTGTCTCTATCCTAGGCTGCCCTGGGTAAACAGAGGATGCTGGGCTTCCATACCCCCGCTAACATTTTGGGTACAGGTCAGACTGGAGCTTGAGACAAGACGCATCTAATTCTCCTTGTTTCTTGGGTTATGTCTAATTACTGGGCTCTTTCCCATTATTTATCATCTGGGCTCTCATTTTTTTATTGCCATTCTTGAATACAGTCATGGTAAATAATTCCTTATTGATCTTATCAAGTCATGCATATCTTAGTTCTAAGCTGCTAAGCAAATCTCTGATAATTAGTGAATTTCTCCCAACATAGTATCTCATAAAATATGTCTTGCAGCTAATATACCTACATTTGCAGAAACATATTTAAATTAAATGTACTCCCCTCCAAAAAAAATCCCAAAATGATTTTTAACAAAATTCAGCAAACCCATTGTAAAATATATCTGAGAAAGAAACACTGAGAACAGTGGGGTCCTTTTTTCCCCAGAAGAAAAAAATGAGGATGAAAATTGCTTTGTCAGCTTTCATAGTCCATTATGAAATTAATTCAAGAATTAAAATAGTGTGGTCTAGGAGCAAGCAAGTACCGCAGGTCCATAAATCAATACAGTATAGCTTAAAAGAGGTTCTAGAAACAGAAATATGGAATGTGAGAATTAAATACATATTATAAATGGTTTCTTCAATAAATGTGAGGGACAACTGGCTTTTTATTTGTAAAAACAACAACTGTGTTTGAAGGTGTAGACAGGGTTTGTTCCTCACAGATGCTCTGCTGTAAAATATGCTGCACATCTCTGTCCTGGCTTCCTCTGACTGCAGGTAATCTTTGGCGTTCCTTGGCTTATTATATCTGCATCACTCCCATGTATGCCTCCATCTTCACATTGTCTTCTCCTGTATCTCTGTGCATTTAATCTGCTTCTGCTTTTCTCTTACAAGGACACCTGCCATTGCCTTTAAGGCCCACCCCAAATCCAGGGTAAGCTCATCTGGAGGTCCTTAACTTAAATTATATCTGCAAATACTCTTTTCCAAGTAAGATCACATCCACAGGTTCCAGGGGTTAGGACTCGGACCTATCCTTTTGGGTGCCACCATTCAACTCACTATCCTTTCATATAAAAAAGTATCATGCCTCATGTCCCACCTCCCTTTGGGGCCTAGAGGCAGTTAACAGCTCTGACAATTACTCAAGTGTCCCTTATGAGCTCCTTATACTCTGTCCATATCTGTACAAAGAAAAGTACATTTATTTATTATTTATTTTTTGAGACAGAGTCTTGCTCTGTCACCCAGGCTGGAGTACAATGGTGCCAACTTGCCTTACTGCAACCTCCATCCTCCAGGTTCTAGCAATTCTCCTGCCTCAGCCTCCTGAGTAGCTGGGATTACAGGCACCTGCCAACACGCCCAGTTAATGTTTTGTATTTTTAATAGAAATGGGGTTTCATCATGTTGGCCAGGCTGCTCTTGAACTCCTAGCCTCAGATGATCTACCTGCCTCAGCCCCATAAAGTGTTGGGATTACAGGCACGAGCCACTGTGCCCGGCCCAGAAGAACCTTTATTAAACCCTCTTTAAACTATCCCAACTTGGGTTTTCATCTATTTCTCATTGAAACCTACCTAAAATACCAGTCGAGGAATTACACTGCAGGACAGAACATTAGAAAGAATTCACCTTCAGATGTTGGGAAGAGTGAAGAAAGAAAACGTTCACTGCTAAATTTCACAAAAGTAAAGATCCAATGAAGGACACTTATTTTTAAACTTGTGATCAATAGATGAAGAAAATTTTTCACCTCCAATCAAAATGACCAAGGGATTAATTAATATATTTAGGAATTCTGAAGAGCTACTATTTTCAAGGAACTATACAAGGTTTGGCAATAAAATAATGAGAAAAATACAAATAACTGTGTACATAATTATATTGTAACTATGGTAATGGATGAAAAGGATAATTAGATGGTGCGGAAAGTAGAATTCTAAGATGGTCCCCAAGATTCCTGCCTTTGGTGTACACAATCAGGTTAATCCTCTACCCTTGAGTGTTGCTTGGACAGTTAATATAAGGAATTATCAATTCTATGCTTAGTTACTAATCAGTTGACTTTGAATTAATCAAGAGGAAGACTGTCCTGGGTAGGTCTGAGCTAGTCAGATGAGCCCATTAGAAGAAGGTGAATCATCAAGGATTCACTATTGCTGGCCTGGAAAACTCAGTCACGTTGTGATTTATCTATGAAAGCTATGTGCCAAGCACTGAGAGCAGGTTCTAGAGCGGAAGACTCAGTTAACTCCTACTGGATTCCTGACCCACAGAAACTGTGAAATGGTAAGTTTTCATTGTGTATGCTCCTAAATTTGTGTTACTTTGTTACAAAGAAATAGGAAACTAATGAAGATGGTGTTAAACTTTAGTAAAGGTTTAACTAACGCTGTCAGCAGTAGAAAACACTATATGGTACTAAGACCTGTGGCCCTGTATCCAAAATGAAGTAGGCGTACAAAGAAGAGCCAGAACCATTCTTACCAAACTATTCCAAAAAACCCAGGAGGAGGGATCCCTTCCTAACTCATTCTACAAATCCAGTATTACCTTAATACCAAAGCCAGGCGAGGATACAACAAAAACAAAAAGAAAATTACAGGCTAATATACCTGATGAACATAGATGCAAAAATTCTCAACAAAATACTAGCAAACCAGATACAACAACATACCGAAAAGTTAATTTACTATGATAAATTGGGCTTCATTCAGGGAGGCAAGGATGGTTTAACATACACAAATCAATAAATGTGATCCACCACATAAACAGAAGAACAAAAATCATATGATTATCTCAATAGATGCAGAAAAACATTTGATAAAAATCCAACATCCATTCATGATAAATACCCTAAAAAAAACAAAAAAACAAAACAAAACAAAACAAAAAACTGGCTGGGCACGTGGCTCACGTCTGTAATCCCAGCACTTTGGAGGCTGAGATGGGTGGATCACCTGAGGTTGAGAGTTCAAGACCAGCCTGGCCAACATGGTGAAACCCCGTCTCTACTACAAAAATTAGCCAGGTGTGGTGGTGCATGGCTGTAATCCCAGCAACTCAGTAGGCTAAGGCAGGAGACTCACTTGAACCTGGGAGGCAGGGGTTGCAGTGATCCAAGATCGCACCATTGCACTCCAGCCTGGGCAACAAAGTGAAACTCTGGCTCAAAACAAAAGTAAACAAACAAAAACTAAGCATGAACAGAACATATGTAAAAACACTGAGAGCTATTTATGACAAACCCACAGCCAACATCATAACAAATGGGGAGAAGTTAAAAGCATTTCCCCTAGGAACTGGAATAAGACAAGGCTGTCCACTCTTACCTCTACTGTTCAACAAGTACTGGAGTCCTAGCCAGAGCTATCAGGCAAGAGAAAGAAATAAAAGGCATCCAAAATGGAAAAGAGAAAGTCAAGTTATCTGTTCATTGACTACATGATTGTATACGTAGAAAACCCTAAAGACTGCTAGACCAGATTAATAACCTCAGTAGTGTCAGGTTACAAAATCAATGTACAAAAATTGGTAGCATTTCTGTACTTTTAAAATGTTTTAGCTGGGAAACAAATTAAGAATTAAATTCCAGTCGGGCATGGTGGCTTATGCCTATAATCTCAGCACTTTGAGAGGCTGAGGCGGGTGGATCACTTGGGTCAGGAGTTCGAAACCAGCCTGGCCAACATGGTAAAACCCTGTCTCTGCTAAAAATACAAAAATTAGCCGGGCATGGTGGCGTGTGCTTGTAGTCTCAGCAACTTGGGAGGCTGAGGCAGAAGAACTGCTTGAACTCAGGAGGTGGAGGTTGCAGTGAGCCGAGAACAAGTCACTGTACTTCAGCCTGGGTGACAGACAAAGCAAGACTCTGTCTAAAAAAAAAAAAAAAAAAAAAAATTCCTTTCATTTGCTATAGCCACACACAAAAAAATAAAAACTAGGAACACATTTGACCAAGGAGGTGAAAGATCTCTGCAAAGAAAACTACAAAATGCTGACAAAATAGACGGTAGAAGACACAAATAAATGGAGAAACTTCCCATACTCATGTACTAGAAGAATCAATATGGTTAAAAAGACCATATTACTGAAAGCAATCTACAGATTCAGTGCAATTCTTATCAAATTACCAACATCATTTTTCACAGAATTAGAAAAGCAATCCTAAAGCTAATATGACTCTAAAGAAAAGCCCAAATAGCCAAAACACTCCTAAGCAAAAAGAACAAATCCAGAGGCATCACATCACCTGACTTCAAATTATACTGCAAAGTAAAGTAACTAAAACAGCAAGGTGTTGGTACAAAAATAGACACACACATCATGGTACAGAAATAAAGCCACATACCAACAACCAATTGATTTTCAATAAAGTGGAGAAAAATAAAGAATGGGGGAAAGAGATCCTATTCAATAAATGGTGCTGGGTAAACTGGCTAGCTATATGCAGAAGAATGAAACTGGACCCCTCTCACTCACTATATACAAAATTTAAAAGGAAATGGATTAAAGACATAAATGTAAGACCTGAAACTATATACATATATTAAAAAAAACTCAGAAGGAAACCTAAGAAAAATTATTCTGGACATTAGCTTAGCGAAAGAATTTATGATGAAGACTCCAAAAGCAAATGCGACAAAAACATAAATAGACAAATGGAACTTAAACTAAGATGTTTTTGCACAGCAAAATAAATCATCAACAAGGTAAACAGACAACCTACATAATGGGAGAAAAGATTTACAAATTTTGCCTCTAACAAAGGATTAATATCTAGAATCTACAGGAAACTAAATTCAAGAAGAAAAAAAATAAACAATCCCATTAAAAACTAGGCCAAGGACATCAACAGATATTTCTCAAAAGAAGAAATACAAGTGGCCAACAAGCACCTGAAAAAATGATTAACATCAATAATCATCAGAGAAATGCAAATTAAAACCTCACTGAGATACCAACTGTCGCCAGTCAGAATGGCTTTCATTAAAATATAAAAAAAAAACCCCACAGATGTTTTATTTTATTTTATTTACATTATTATTATTATTGAGACAGTGTCTGACCCTGTCACCCAGGCTGCAGTACAGGGATATGAACACAGCTTACCGTAGCCTAGAACTCCTGGGCTCAAGTGACTTTCCTTGCCTCAGTCTCCTTAGTAGCTGGGACCACAGGTGGGTATCACCACACAAGGTAATTTTTAAATTTTTTGTAGAAGCGAGGTCTCACCTTGTTGCCCAAAGCCAGTCTTGAATCCTACGCTTAAGCAATCCTTCCACCTTGGCCTCCCAAAGTGCTGGGTTTACAAGTGTTAGCTACCTCCCCTGGCCAAAAAATAACATATTGGTGAGAATGTGGACAAAAGGAAACACTTGTACACTGCTGGTGGGAATGTAAATTAGTTCAACTTCCATGGAAAACACTATGGAGATATTTCAAAGAACTAAAAATAGAACTACCATTCAACCCAGCAATCTCACTGCTGGCTATCTACCGAAGGGAAAATAAATCATTATGTAAAAAGACACCCGCACTCATGTGTTTACTGCAGCAGTATTTAAAAAAAGCAAAGTCATGGATTCAACCTAAATGTCCACAACAGTTGATTGGAAAATGTAGTATATATACACCATGGGATACTATGCAGCCATAAAAAACAACAAAATCATGTCCTTTGCAGCAACATAGATGGAGTTGGAGGCCATTATCCTAAGTAAACTGACACAGAAGCAGAAAATAAAATATTGGATGTCCTCAATGGAGCTTTCTCCATCTTTATGTCCATGTGTACCATTGTTATTAAACGAATGGTACTCATGGACATAATGTTAGAGAAAATAGACTGAGCACTCCAAAAAATGGGAGGTAGGGAGATGGGGTTGAAAAATTACCTACTGGGTACAATGTCCAATATGAGGTGATGGGTACATTAGAAGCTCAACTCTCACCATGATGCATGTAATACCAATGTCCAATGTAACAAACCAGTACCCCCTAATATAAAATTAAAATAAGAAAGTGAAGCAGATACTGTTGAGAAGTGGTAGCTTCACAGCCATTTACTTCTTGTGCTCTGAGTCTATAATCATATGGAAGCCTTTGTGAATTTAGGTTTCCAGGCCTGAGAAAGTAGGTGACTTAGGGCACATAAGTATTGTAGAACTGAGATAGTGAAGGCAGAGGAGAGGATTGGTCGGGAATAATTAGCTTAACCCATCAGGCAGCTGGTCATAATTGATGGCCAGGAGTTTCGGTTACATGAGCTTCCTGTGGTTCTCTTAGGAAATGGTAGACAGCATGTATTAACTGATTTAAAGACATAAACCCTTCAATCTTATTGGCTTAACACAATAGGAGCTTACTAATCCCTATACATAAAGTTGAATGCCAGCATTCCTGGTCGGCAGGGAGCTGTCCACATAGTCTTTCAGAAGCTAGACTCCACCCATCCTGTGTAGAGCCTCCCTTGAAGTGGAATGCAGCACTTCTCCACACATCTCATTGGCTCAAGCTCAGTCTCTGAGAGGCAGGGAAATGTAGTCCCTGCCTAGGCAGTCCCCTTCCACAGCTCTGCCTGTGGGAGGGAGGGAGACTTTTTGGTGGTCATATAGCTGTATTTCCCAGATGAAATTTGAAGTTTAGAGGGGTTCCCAAACTGCAGAATGAAGAATCTTGAACAAAAGGAAGCAAAGGTTAACTCCTAACTTGAAGATGCATATTCTGGTTTGGAAGACAAATGATCTGGGAAAAACAGGTTCGGGGAGCTTGAGTTTCATCATCAGCCATGGGTTGAGTCCACAGCATGGTCATAAGGGAAGATATAGGAATAACAGAAGTAGGGGCTGGGTGCGGTGGCTCACTCCTGTAAACCCAGCACTTTGGGAGGCCAAGGGGTTGAGAATCGCTTGAGGTCAGAAGTTCAAGACCAGCCTGGCCAATGTGGTGAAACCCTGGCTTTACTAAAAACACAAAAATTAGCTGGCGTGGTGGCACATGCCTATAGTGCCATCTACTTGGGAAGCTGAGGCAGAAAAATTGCTTGAATCCAGGAGGCAAAGGTTGCAGTAAGCTGAGAATGCACCACTGCACTCCAGCCTGGGCAACAGAGTGAGACTCCATCTCAAAAAAAAGAAGAAGAAATAGCAGTGGTAGGGTGAGTACGTGCTTCCACTTTGCCAAAAGTTTCCATAAGAAAAAAAGTTTGCAGTTATTGAAATGTGGTAGTTGAAAAACACCTGAAAGCAATTATACAAATAGTGAAAACTAAGTCATGGTTATGTGATGGAGGTATAAAGCTCACCTTACACACAATTTTAGAGAGAAAAATTATGAGCTAGTGTGCCAGGTGAAATCAAGGATGTGACTTTCGAACTAAAAAATTCTAATATTGTCTTCCATTTCTTTTATTTTTTTCTCTTTGTCTTTTCTTTTTCTTTTCTGATTTAATTTTTTTACTGCACCTCCACCTGAGTGCCTGGGCCAGTGGTCCAGGTGCAGGCAGCAGAAAGTTTTCCAGCTCTTATAAGCCTTGTTTTGGTAAGTCAGTGACAACCAAGGCTTATAAACCATTATGAACCCAAGGCGTAGTAACCCTTACTTGAAATAAGATGAAAGTTTGAAACATGAGCAGATGAACTATCTCTGACCTTGTTCTGATTTCTCTGGACCCACTCTCTGCATGAACCTCTCAAGCCTCCAGCCTTCTGACCTCTTCCTAAGGTGCACTTTGCCTTGCAGATGATGGCCCTCCTAAACAGAGTTAAATTAAAATATGCCTTTGAAAAACACCATAGTCTGTGGGGAAAATCCCACAGTCATTAAGTTTGTAGTGTGGTGCTCTAGATGCCATTTCTGATCAAACTTCTACCTCTTCAATGAACTGCTTCTTTCACTAAAACTTTATAATGTGTATTTCCCTCAACTGGTCATTCGATCCCATCCAATATCTGTGCAATCCAACAAGGTAGCCATTAATCACATGTGGCTATTGAGGACTTGGAATATGGCTTATCTGAATTGAGATGGGCTGTAAGTATAAAGTATACACTGGAGTTTGAAGATTCTGTGTGAAATAAGAAATATAAAATACTTCATTCAGGCTGGGCATCGTGGTTTATGCCTGTAATCCCAGCACTTTGGAAGGCTAAGGTGGGTAGATCAATGGAGGCCAGAAGTTTGAGACCAGCCTGGGCAACAAAAGGAGACCCTATCTCTGCAAAAAATTTTAAAAATTGGCAGGGTATGGTGGTGTGTACCTGTCGTCCTAGCTACACAAGAGGCTGAGGCCTGAGAATAGCTTCAGCCCAGGAGTTTGAGGCTTCAGAGAGCTATGTTTGCACCCCTGCACTCCAGCTTGAGTGACAACAGTGAGACCATGTCTCTTAAAAACAAAACAAAACAATCTGTGGCTCATGCCTGTAATCCAAGTGTTCTGGGAGGCTGAAGTGGCAAATCACTGGAGGCCAGGAGTTCAAGATCAGCCTGGCCAACATGGTGAAACCCCATCTCTACTAAAAACACAAAAATTAGCTGGGCATAGTGGCACAGACCTATAATCCCAGCTCTTGGGAGGATGAGGCACAAGAATTGCTTGAACCTAGGAGGCAGAGGTTGCAGTGAGTCGAGATCACGCCACTGCACTTCAGCCTGGGTGGCAGAAAAAGACTCCGTCTCAAAAAAAAAAAAAAAAAGAAATTCATCACTTTTATATTAATTACATTTTGAAATAGTGTTTTTGATATATTGGGTCAAATCTCATTAAAATTAATTTCACCTTTTTTTACTTATTTAATGTGGGTGTTGGAAAATTTAAATTTACATGTGATGTTTGATTTCTATGAAACAGAAGTAGTCTAAAAAGTAGTCTAAATAGTTTCCTGATGTGTGTGTGCATGTGTGTGTAGAGGTGTTATGCCTTCAACTGAACAGTAAGCTCTTAGAGGGAAAGAATTTATCTTATCTACTCCTTTGTAAGCCCTGCAGAGGCTTATATTCTCCTTTATAAGCTACAGCCTCAGCTTCTGCCTTATATACGCCTTTATAAGCTGCACCCTCAGAAGGACCCACGGCAGTTAGGAAATCCATTTTATTGGGTTCCTGAGGACCTTCTTAAGCACTCTGGCATTTCATGATGCCAGACCAGGGGCAGTGGTTGTACCTGGGGTCCCTCGGGAATGTGGGGAGGCAGGTCTTGGGGGAGTTTCACTGAGAAGCAACTGGACCAGGAGGGACCTCCTGGGCACCTGTGGTCAAGTGAGTTTTGGAAACTCAGTTTCCCATTGTTTAGGAAAAACTTTCAAACTGATTCTCCTCTGCTCTCATATCACAGCATTCAACACAGAAGACTTCTGTCAGCAAATGCCGGGCGGTGGCGGGGGGGGGGTTCCTTCACACACACCAAGTGGCAGATATCAGCAGGGTGTTGTTAATTAAATTCCAACCTGGAGATAGTGTCAGATCTCCCAGGGTGAGGGCTGAATCCCCAAAGCTGTTCCTCGACACCAGTTGCAAGTACAGGCTTCCAGAACTTCTGATGAGCAACTTTAAGTTGGGGTTCTCACAACCCTCCCTTTGGATTTGATTAATTTGCAAGAGTAGCTCACAGAGCTTAAAGAAACACACTTGCCAAGTTACTATAAAGGATATTGCAAAAAATACAGATGAAGAGATGCGTAGCATGAGGTATGGGGGAAGCGGCACAGAGCTTCCATGCCCTCCATACATGTGCCATCCACCAGGAACCTCCACCTGTTCAGCTACCTAGAAGCTCTCCCAACACTTCTTTGGCCTTTGGGCTTTTTTCTTTTTTTTTTTTTTTGAGATGGAGTCTTGCTCTGTTGCCCAGGCTAGAGTGCAGTGGTGCGATCTCTCCTCACTGCAACCTCTACCTGCTGGGTTCAAGAGATTCCCCTGCCTTAGCTTCTCAAGTATTGGGGATTATAGGCGTGTACCACCACAACAGGCTAATTTTTGTATTTTTAGTAGAGATGGGGTTTCACCACGTTGGCCAGGCTGATCTCAAACTTCTGACCTCAAGTGATCCACCCGCCTCGGCCTCCCAAAGTGCTGGGATTACAGGTGTGAGCCACCGCGCCCAGCCTTTTGGGCCTGTAAGGAGACTTCATTGACTGTCCATGAATGATGCATGTCATGTCAAATTGTGAATGGACAAAAAGGTTATGATAGAAACCCAGCAAGGCCTGTCTGTTCAGATTCTTCTTGGTCTCTCCATGCAACATTCCGTCCTTCAGAGTAGAGGGATGACCCTCTATGGAATGAAGGTCTTATGACCTGCAACAAGATTAGAGTCCTGCCTTGGGCAAGTGAAAGGAGGGGAGAGGAAGGTTAGAGGGAGATTTTCTGTTTCCTGAGGTCTGCTTCTGATGCCTAAAGTGCCCCCAGCATTATGACAAAAGACCACAACAAGGGTTAAGGGAGATATGAGCTACGAACCATGGACAAAAACCAACTTGCATATAATCATAGTATCACACCCATGAAACAGCTTTCCAGGTACTTCGTGTCCACAGACTCTGGAGCTGTCTGGCAGTTCTGCTAATCATTCACCACCTGTGGGTACTTGCTCAGCTGCTTGTGGGCAGTGTCTGGTTTGGAATGGGCAATTCCTATCTTCAAAGTCCTGGGATCAGGATGTTCATGTTTTAATGAACTATATGCAGCCTTGATGTCTGGCCAAGGCGGAGGACTGAACATCCCAGACAGGACTGTACGTGGGGCTACATGCCCTGCATTCATCCCACATTCAACCTCCCATTGCTATTGAGTCAGTGCTGCTGTTTTCCCTCCTCTTCTGACCATTCATGCCCAGCTCTCAGCTGCCAGGAGCAACTGTGCAAGTGAGTGTGGGAGCCGGAATAAGCTCTGCTACTCCCGCCTCGTGTGGACCACAGAGCTGAGGTTCAAGAAGCAATATTAAGAGTGACCATTGTGATAGATGCCAATACTGCCCCCGCCCAAACACCAAAAAAGAGTGACTAAATGCAATTACTCTTGAGGCCTGAACACCAGGGATCCCGGAGGAGCAACAAACTGCCTGCTTCTCCCAGGACAAATCCAAGAACCAAGGAGAGTCCCTGGGGTTCTCTGTGATTCACTTCAAAAGTATCACTCTCATATTTTCCCTTTAAATAATCTCCTTTCTCTGAGCATTCAGGTCTACAGTGCTTCCATGAATTTTGATAGTTCACCAAAAGGAGAAAGAGACAGGAGACAAAGATGCTCACCTCTGTGTCACATCTATACCTTTTTATTTTCACTGTAGAAATAATTGACTCCAACACTCACATTTTGTAGATAAGGGCGTGACACTCAGGAAATCAAGAGAAAACCAGAACTAGAATCCAGATTCTGACTTCACATTAACGTATTTCCACTTCCTCATGCTGCCTTCTGAAGGCTGTCTCTACATCTCACTGGTGACAATGATCACCTCCAGGTTGTGGGGTTACAGATGATTTTTGTTGTTGTTGTTGTTTGAGATGGAGTTTTGCTCTTGTTGCCCAGCCTGGGGTGCAGTGGTGCAGTCTTGGCTCACTGCAACCTCTGCCTCTCCGGTTCAAGCAATTCTCCTGCCTCAGCCTCCCAAGTAGCTGGGATTACCAGCATGGGCCACCGTGTCCAGCTAATTTTTGTTTTTTGAGATGTAGTCTTGCTCTGTCGCCAGGCTGGAGTGCAGTGGCACAATCTCAGCTCACTGCAACCTCCTCCTCCCGGTTCAAGCAATTCTCCTGCCTCAGCCTCTCGAGTAGCTAGGACTACAGGCACACGCCACCACGCCCAGCTAATTTTTGTATTTTTAGTAGAGATGGGGTTTCACCATGTTGGCCAGGATGGTCTTGATCTCTTGACCTCAGGATCTGCCCGCCTCGGCCTCCCAAAGTGCTGGGATTACAGGCGTGAGCCACCGTGCCTGGCCGCTAATTTTTCATTTTTAGTAGTCACAGGGTTTCATCATGTTGGTCAGGGCTGGTCTTGAACTCCTGACCTCAAGTGATCCACCAGCCTTGGCCTCCCAAAGTGCTGGGATTACAGGCCTTAGCCACCGTGCCTGGGCTTACAGATAATTTTTAATGTTCTTTTTGTTTATATGATTTATGTTGTACCAAAGGGATGTGGAAGGAAGGAAGGAAGGAAGGAAGGGAGGGAGGGAGGAAAGGGGAGGGAGGGGAGGGGAGGCGAAGGAAGGGGAGGGGAGGGAGAAAAGCCTGGCACAGTGGCTCACACCTGTAATCCCAGCGCTTTGGGAGGCAAAGCAGGAGGAGCACTTGAGCCCAGGAGTTCAAGACCAACCCGGGCAACACAGTAAGAATCTGCCTTTAAAAAGAAAAAAAAAAAAATTACCTGATTCTTCTACAATGAATGTATATTAATTCTATAAGAACACCTAAAAATTGAAATTAAATAATCAAAGTAAATTCCTTCAGAAAGCAGAATTAGGTTTTGTTTTTCTAGCCTGCCTTCACACTCAACTTCCCAGCCATATCAGATCTCACAACTGCAAGAAGTATGAATTATTGCCACGCTCAGCGGCAGGGAGAGATATCTAATTTTTCTGGCATGAAGTGGACTTGAGAAAGCGTAAGTTAGGCATTTGGATGGGAGAGAGGGCTCAGAGGCAGCACTATGATGTGTGTGTAAACTCTCCTCCTCCCCACTGGGGGCGCCATCAGCACAAAGGTGCTGCCTCTGCTTTACAGCATTGCTTGTAGTGTGAGCACGGATGATTACGCAGAGGACTGAGTCAGCAAGGTTCATCATCTGCGATGAACTTCCACTCCCCTCAGCACACCTGTCACCCTCAGAGAGACTGCTGCTCCGGGTCCCTCTGCAATAAACCCAGAACCACTAGTGTGCCTGGGGATGCTTCACATTCCCTGTAACTTGTTCTCCACTAACCCCCTTTCTCAGGCTCAGAGGGCTGTTACCCAATACCTAGAATGCTGTCTTCCTAGGTTAATTAGACACTCGTCAAGTAATCACTGAGAAAGGAAGCTGGTGACTATTTCACATTAAAATATCAGTGGCCAATACCAGCTCACTGGGGTAATTCCTCTCAATGAATCTCCATTTTCAGGATTCTTCCTTTCTTGTATCAGATAGGGATGGCTGGTAGAAGCAGAGCTATGGGATATGGATGGCTGATAGAAACTAGACCTTACACATTTGTGGGATCTGGTGACAACATCTGGAAAGCTGTTGCCTCTTTGCGGTATCGGGGACCTGAAGTCATTTCAGGTTGAGGTGGCAGCAGTCAGCAAGAACCATATTCTATGAAAAAGGGAAGAGCAAAGAGAAACCAAACGCAAACCTACCAGGACAAACTGGAGCCTATGTCTTCCTCTCCCTGTCTCAGACCTCAATGGCAGGCAACCTGCGGAAGCAACTGGCACCCTTCACACCTTGGAGCAGCTCTAGGCCTGGCTGTTGCTCACCTAGGAGTGAAGCCTGCAGATCAGTGACACAATGCATGAGCTACCGCGGTACCTGGCACCCTATGCCTTCAGAGTATTCTTAGGTTGCTGCTTCACTTCTGCCTTCAGATTCTCATGTAAATTCCACCAGTAGCCAAACCTACTTTGGAACCACATTGGGAAGGAAATTCTGGGAAACATGGTTGTAGCTTAGCTATGCGGACACTACTACAAAATCACCACATCCTCTAAAATCAATACCCAGGGGTGGCTTTTCAGAGTCATCTCCTGGCCAGTAGACATTTTGAAGTGGTGGTGGTTGGGGGAATGTAAGCGGGTAATGGGGAGATGCTGAAGGGGGCTTTCTTGGAGGTCTTCAAGATGGGTCTATCACAGATAAGTAGAAAAGCCAGATAGGTGCTAAATATATTATATATCCAAATGTTCAAAAGTATGTATCCATAAAAAAAGTTTGACCTCACAACGGGATCAAAATGATGTCTGAGAAGTGCTGCAGCATAATCAAGATAACGAGTGTCCAGGCTTTTGCTGGATACCGTCATGGCAACCCACTCCATTTTCCTCTCCTTTTCTCCTCTGAGCTCTGGGCAGGACAGAAGAAAGGAAGCCATGGGATATAGGGATGGGTATAACCAGAACCACCTCAAGGGCTGTAAAAGGGTCCCCTGAAAGCCCATTCACCAACTTTGCCTTCAGAGTGTAAGGTGAGTTCATTCCCAATGTACCAGAATGGAATGGAACACTAAGCCATATTCCACCGAATGTGTAGGCTTGTCTTGAGAAACACTTCCTCTCTGTGGGGAAGCAGTGGGTGCGGCGAGATGATAAAACAGGTGGAAGGCAGGTCTTTCCAAAGCCCAGAACCTGAAGTGGCTGCATAAAGTAAGGCTGTGCCTGAGTTTTGCACTTCTCTCCTTCAGTGGACAGATCGATAGTTCCATGGGAAACTTTTTTGGTCATGTGTATCCAGGGCTGTTTCTGTTCTTACATGGACTGTATCAGGCAGTAGTAATCTCCAAAGCTATAATATCCAGCGACTCTCTCCTATATCCTTCATCCCCTCCCAGGAATAAGGGAAGATGTGCCAGGCTGCGGAAAATATCCTATGGAGGTCTGTTGAAGATGGTGGCTGGCTGCTTCTTGACAGTTTATGAGGTCATCTGCATTGAAGGAGGGTTGATATTGATGAACAGGGAACTGCCACCAAGGTTCATGTACCCCAAAGAGTGGCAGCACCTCACCATGTTCATCCTCCTCACTCTCAATGGCTGTGTGGACTTTGTGAGCAAGAATGTGCTGCCTCAGAGGTGTGTGGGCCTAGAAAAAGGTACCCTGGTCCTGATCATCTATGAGCTCCTGCTGCTGATGGTGTCACATGTTAAAGACTCAGAAGGGGTGGAGCTGCACGTGCACTCTCTGCTCATCCTGGTGGTGTTCCTGCTGTTGCTGGTGTTCACTGCAGAGCTGTGGGCTCCCAACATGTGTCATCTCCAGCTGATGGAGACCTTTCTGATCCTCATGATGGGCTCCTGGCTGATGCAGGCAGGCTTTATTCTATACAGACCTGTCTCTGGCTACCCATGGCAGGACGATGACATCAGTGACATCATGTTTGTCACCACCTTCTTCTGCTGGCATGTGATGATCGATGCCTCATGCCTGTTGGGAATCTACGGCTTCTCTTCCTTTTGGCATCGTTGTTACGCTCCCAGCTTGAAGCTGACGGGGCCCAAGGAAGCTCCGTATTACGCAAGCCCTCCAGGACCCCTCTACAAGTTGCTGCAGGAAGTGGAGCAGTCAGAGAAAGAGGACCAGGTCCTCCTTTTTTCAAAGAGCTCCCCTGAGACAGAGTCTATAGTGGCTGGCACATCATCCACCTTGCCTTCCTCCTGTGGGCTCCTCAGCCACGAGCATGGCACCCTCCTTGGTGAAGGTAATGGCCTTGAAGGCTAGCAGTTGGTCCTGTCTGCAGATGCATTTTCTTTTCTTTTCTTTTTGAGACAGAGTCTCGCTCTGTTGCCCAAGGTGGAGTGCAATGGCACAGTCTCGGCTCACCGCAACCTCCGCCTCCTGGGTTCAAGCGATTTTCTGCCTCAGCCTCCAGAGTAGCTGAGATTACAGGTGTCTGCCACCATGCCCATGCTGGTGCATTTTCTATCCCTGAGACTGTAATTACTGAGAAGATACGGAGAGAGGGATTGAGAAAGAGAGACGCTGATGAGATTTGGGGGAGGGAGGGAAAAGGACCAGGAGAACAAATTAGTGTGCAAGAAAAGCCACTGGGGGAAGAGACGGCAACAAAAGGAAGGAAGGGCTGTGAAGGGAGAACAGGGTCTAGCAGTTATGCTGTCACTAGCGGCTTCGTCAGCCAGGAGGGATTGCCTCTTACCTGAGGGAATGAAGACTTCTCATAGCTGAAAACTGGAACTATTCAAGTCCCATCTTGATAAAGAAAAGTGGGTACTTTCTGTGCTCACCAGAGTGGTGCCACCGTGTGGAAGTGGCACAACAGAATTTATAATTAATTCATACAGGCTGAAATTATGCTCATTTTGCCTCCTCCTCTCCCCCAGCTTTCAAGAATTGGCTTCATTTCAAATTTTACACATAAAGTGAGACTTCTAAAATACCTTAATAACATTTCAGATTTCCATAGTTCAAATTTTTATAGAATTCAAATGCTGTAGCATTTTTATAGAATTCAAATGCTTGGTACTTTCCTGACTTCTCATTTTGTTACTCTCACGGTAGCCCAAACTTTCCTGTTTCACCATGACCACCTTGCACATGCAACTCTTGGGTCTTTGCGAATTTCTTTTCTTTGCATATCACAACCAGTCAACCTACAGTCACATATTTGCCACGTTCTTAGATTCTGGGAATAAACCTACACCCACCCATCACCTCACCAAGTATCCCCAAGTCAGCCTTCTCCAAGAACTCTTATTGATTCCCTTGTTTTGGAACTCTTAGGCACTTACGTTTAATGTGCCCTGTTATTTTGCTCATATAGGTGACACACTTTCTTTTATACTACCGCTGAAATCATTTTCCTTCAGGAAATTTTTCCTCACACGCTAAAGTACAGGCTTCTAAAGGGAAAAGATTTTGCCTTATCCAAGTTACAAAATTTCCTGTGTATACCCCAGCTATGGATCATGGTTGATGTTCAATAAAGGTTTCTTTGCTTCCAGAGTCTTCCCAATCCTGTTTCTTCTAAATGTGCTGCTGGATAGGGAGGAGGTTTTGTGAGCCTCTCTGGGTGACAACAGTCCTGAACCCTGAGTCATTACCTTAGTAATGGACCCACTCTCTTCCTTGTTCTGGGGTATAATAAAATCCAGTAACTTGTTTCTGTAGTTGACCCTGTTATTGTTTTGTAATCCTCACAAATGTTTCTATAAGGAATCTCCAGAAAACGGAGACTCCAGCAGGATGACTTGCCCAAGTCCCACAGCTGGTATGAGGCAAGACAGGAACTTAAGTGCAGGTGTGTCTGATGCAAGCGTGACTGTGTCCTCTGGGACAACGACTTTGCTAATGGCAATGGAGAAGGGAGTTATTTCAAAATGAAAGAAATAAAATTGTGAAATGAAGAAAGAAAGATGGCTGGGCTCTGTGGCTTATAGCTGTAATCCCAGCACTTTTTGAGACCAAGGGGGCCGGATCCCTTGAGGTCAGGAGTTCGAGACCAGCTTGGCCAATGTGGTAAAACCCTGTCTCTACTAAAAATACAAAAATTAGCCAGGCGTGGTGGCGTACACCTGTAATTTCAGGTCCTCAGGAGGCTGAGGCAGGAGAATCACTTGAACCTGGGAGGTAGAGGTTGCAGTGAGCTGAGATTGTACCACTGCACTGTAGTCTGCATAACAGAGCAAGACTATGTCTCAAAAGAGAGAGAGAGAGAGAGAGAGAGAGAGAAAGTCAGCCAGCCAAAAAGTCGACGTAAAGCAAACAGCACAGTGTAAACGGCCTAGACCTCCCTTAGGAGTGTGTTTATGTAACACTTTCTGTTCCCTGCCCCGACCCCCAGTCTCCCCTGGGGGGTGAGAATCTGGCAGACTCTTAACTTCTGGCTGGGTGTTATATTTTTGGGCTCAGATCCAAAGTGAGGGCTGGGGATAAGACTTGTCTGTGACCAAGGCTTCTAACGCTTGCCATTTCCCCTTTACTCTTGGTTCCTAGGCTCTTTTCAATTACCTTTCTCCGGGAGCCTTCCTTTTCTGTTTACCTTTCTTACACATTAACGGGAGGTGATGAAAAAGCACAAACACTTAGCTGCCTGTTTCTGTCATGAGCCGTAATTCCATAACAATAAGCCTCTGGTACTCAAGTGATACCCCCCTCAAATATTCAGTGTAGGCAATAAGCCTGCCTGTTATTAACTTACTATATTTACGACGTAACAGGAAGGTCCTCCCCCTAAAGGCTACTCAAGAAAAAACTCAAAACACTCAAGCTTTTGGGGAGAAGTCTGTCATTCTCACAAAATTCCACCAGAGGGCGCTAGGTTCACACCACCCTGGCCAAACCCCGGCCTCTCCAACCCCACTAAACAAGTCTCCCCAGAACGGCTTTAACAGAAGTGAGAGAGGAGAAAGGACAGGGAAAATGCAGAACCAGACTAAGAATTGCCCAAGCATCCAGAAAACATACCCTAGACTGTTGGTTTCCCGTTAAAATTTGGCAAGTGAGTGTGAAATAAACAGGGATCCAAATTAACAAATGGGATGGGAGGGGAGGGAGGAAGCGCTGTGGATCCCATTGAGGATTTCTTTGGAAATGGTATCAACTAAAGCACATACTCTGATCTAAATAGTTTTTTGATGAGAATGCTAAGTTCCCTAATTTTTAAATTAGCTTCAATAGTGTTCTAATCAATCTACAGAACAAAGATGTGTATGGTGTCAATTGAGAATAAAAGACAAAATGTATCTACAAAAACCCCAGATTCCCAAAACAATAAAACTAGAGGCAGATTAGCAGATGTGCAAAATGATCTCCGAAGAGTCCTTCAAAGAGAATCTGCCCTACAGTGTTTTTTTTTTTTTTTTTTTCAGTAATCTAGAAATACATACTGAGTGTCTGTTAGACAGAAGTCACTGGGTAAGCCTACCCAGGATTGAGAACTGAATGGTTGGTCACTGTCCTCTGCGCCTCCCTCAGTGAGGATGGTAGGAAGTTCAGTATTTTAGAGATGGTGGCCCAGGAACACATCACCCACAGACCAGAGACTAAAGGAAGGGGAACGGAAAAAGAATAGCACCTTGAAAGCACATTGCTCTAAAATACTGCCCTAATGTGACTTCGCCAAGTTACTATGAGTTATCTAGGCCTCAGTTCCTCATCTTTAAGATGGAATGATGTGAAGATCTCATTCTAGAATGGTATGGCTTTAATCTTCTCAATAGGACAGATCTCCCCATCTTGTTAACTAAGATGAGCTTGATTCTTCCCAACTTTCCAAGTAGTTTCCTGTTAAAGACATGATTCAGGGTAGAGCGCAAACAGACCCAGACCTTCCGTCCTCACAGGCAGTTTG